TGTGTGTGTGTGTGTGTGTGTGTGTGCGTGTGTGCGTGTGTGTGTGTGTCTCATGTCCAGAGCTGAGTGAGTATGTCTCGTTTCCAGAGGTGTGTGTGTTTCACATGTCCAGAGCTGTGTGTGTCTCACATTAAGGGCTGTGTGTGCTGTCATTATGCAGAAAACAAACTAGTTTGCATCAGATCACGCTCAAAAGAGAAACACGACTTCAATCCAAATGCCGTCACCCTGCAGAGACATCAGAATCTGTGCTACAGACAAGTGTGCCCATGCATTCCCTGTGTGTTACACACAGCACCACAGCACATGTGTAGACACACTTAACGACAACAGCGTGTGTAGCACAGAGATGTCCTGCAACCTCTTTACTCAGTGCTGCATCGGATCCTCTATCACAGCTGCTGCAAGCGAACAGTTCAGCTCCTCACCTGTCTCTCTGTCCTCTCCGCTGCGGCTGGGATGATGTCGTGGCCTCTGTGATCGTCCACCGTGCACATCAGACAAACACACGTTCTGTCAGTGCGGCAGTAGACCTCCAGCAGCTTGCTGTGACGAGAACAGAGTTTCCTGTCCAGCTGTCTTGTGGCCTCGACCAGCTGGTGTCTCTTCAGTGGAGCAGCTTCACAGTGAGGCTGGAGGTGAGTCTGACAGTAAGAGGCCAGACACACCAGACAGGACTTCACAGCTCTCACCTGGCTCCCAGTACAGACATCACACAGCACATCTCCAGGGCCAGAAGGACTGGGAGCAGAAGGACCACTGAGCCCTGTCTCCTTCAGTTTCTCCACCACTTCAGCCAGAACGGTGTTTTTGCCCAGAACAGGCCTTGGGGTGAAGGTCTGTCTGCACTGGGGGCAGCTGTAGACTCCAGTCCGATCATCCAGATCCCAGTGACTCTTAATACAGCCCACACAGTAACTGTGTCCACAGGGAAGAGTCACTGGATCTCTCAGCACGTCCAGACAGATCGAGCAGCTGAACTGGTCCTGGGTGATACAGATGCTGGCTTCTGCCATCTTCCTGCAGACTGACTGACTGCAGGAACTGACTGAGAGGCAGAGGAGACTTTCGTTTTCAGAGAAACGAAACCAGTGTGGAGGAGGCGTGTCCAGGCTGGACAGGGGGCGGGGTCCCTGCTTTGAGCCGCTTCTGGCTGGCCAGCAGCTCCAGGCGCAGCCTAACCTCTCTGGCAGCGTGAGCACACATCCAGCCAGGACATTCCCGCCACCGAGAGCGATAGGACAGTCGGACTGGAAGAACGAGCTGACAGCAGTAAAACTCAGCTATTCTGTTCCTGTGACAGTCTGTGTGTGTGTGTGAGTGTGTGAATCGTGGCCTGTGAATCATACAGCATGCAAAGTCCTGCTGTTGGCATTCGTACAGATGGTCCTGTACTGCAGTGCTGTGCTTTTAGTTTAACGATTGTCCGCGGAGTAATTTTAACGTGGTACTGGCACGATTTATATGCACAATGCGAACATGATTCACGTCGTTTACAAATCACATGACAGTTTTTTTCTTTTTTCAATGGAATACTCCAGTGAGTGTTATTGACCATACTGTTCTGGCTGTCTTCCTGTCGCAGGTCTGCTGTACTCAGTGTGATGGCGTTTGCTGTGCCGTTCAGATGTGTGCTGTCATGGTATTCACACTAACACCATTAACAACAGGGTCATTTACTTCGTTTTGACATTTATTACTCCGGTACATTGAAAACCGATTTTCAGACAATGCGGGGGTCTGGAAAGGGACTGTCTGCCCGGGGGCCCGTGCCGGATCCCTAATCAGGAAGTACCCCAGCTGGGGCAGAGAGAGGTCAGAGGGGCTGATGGGCAGGAATTCTGCCACGCGGCGTCGCGCTCCTGGTTCAGGCTGGAGGGGCTGCAAGACCTTCTCTTCGTCCGACGAGCCGTCCGCCGGTCCCACCCGCAGCTCGGACAGTAATCAGACTGAGACTGGAAAGTGTTTCCTGTCTGCACTGCGTCCCGTTCCGGGTCAAGCTGCCGCATCAACATCGACGCCCCTGTCTCAGAGACGCTTGTTCCTGACCTTTGACCTCGCGTCTGGCCCCTGATCCCTCCCCTGAGCTCCCGGCCGGGGGGGGTCTGTCCGAGGGACCCCGCTATCTCTGGGGGTTTCAGCAGCCTCCCCCCGTGTCCTGCGCCCCTCCAGCCTGCAGCGCCGGGTCCGAGCAGAGCCAGGGGGGTCGGTCCCCCTGGGGCTCACTCACCCCGTCACCCCGATGTGAGCAGTGTCCCCGAGAGCGAACAGGCCTGCGGGGTGCTCACCGCGACCCAGCACAGTCCTCAGACTGAGGCTTGACAACCAGCTGGAAAGGGCTCGTCTTCCTGGGTTTGCTGGGAATGGAAAAGGTGTTTAGATTCAGGACATTTTCGGCCCCGGTTTCCCTCCCGCCTGCGACTGCGACACCGGAGAGGCGGGGTCCCCTGCGTGGCGCTGGGCTCTGGGCTCACCTTCACGCCTGGCGAGAATAACGCAGGTCACCGGCCAGGCTGCTCACCCAATTAGAAAGACAGAAAGCACACCAGGCAGTTACAGGCACACCTCCAGCCTCTCCTTCGCAGTGTGGGCTTTGATTCCAGTTATTTCCACGATCGGCGACAGAGGGGCTAGTCCAGCTGGCACAGGGCCACACTGGAGCCAAACGCCCAGACTCCGAACCCAGGGTAGAGGGGCTCCGTGAAGGAGGCCTGGACTCTGTGCAGGAGGGTCGCTGTGTCCCCAGAGACGCTGTAAAAGGACAGAGTCCCAGCCCTGTGGTCCACATACACCCCTATCCTGGAGGAGGGAGGGGCAGCTACTGCAGTTTTCTCCCCATTGTGCCAGAAGGAGCAGCTGGACCCGGAGCAGCACAGACTCCAGGACTGGTCGTTCAGTCCCAGGCGACAGTCATCACCCTCCCCTTTCCTGCTGAGTCCTTTGTAAGTGACGCCGATCGATGCCTTTCCCCCACTCCACTGCGCCTCCCAGTAACAGCGACTGCCGGACAGCCCCTCTCTGCACAGCACCTGGGGGCAGGAGTCGAATCTCTCGGGGTGAGGGGGGTGCGAGCACTGCTGTGTCTTCCTCATCACCCTCCTGTTCCCCTCAGACAGACACAGGTGTCTGTGCGCTGTGTTGGGGTCCAGTGTGAGCCGACAGGCATCTGATTGGAGAGAAGAGGACAGTCAGAGGACAGACAGGCAGAACAGACCAATCTCTGAGCAGATCTCCACTAGAGTCCCGCCCCCACAGCCCAGTAAGATACACACTGGGGTTTCTGATTGGAGAGA